CGAGTATATTTGGGAAATCCCTCAAGGTTTCGAGGATAATCGTAACACTATTGTACACACCGCTAGGTAGGAATGCGAGATACCAATAAATTATTCAATATATCGATATCACTAGTCGGTATATCGGTTAATTTATACGCTCTAGAAACGATAGTTATCAAAAGCTGCAATCCCGTACGAGACCGGACTAGTCAGAATCAGTCAGATTTTACTGGAAACCGATCCCGTACTCGGTTCTCTGACTATTGAGAGCACAAAAAAGAGAGTAAATACGGTTCCCTCTCTGTCAGAAGTTACCAGTTTTAGTCTGAGATTTTTTTGCTGTTAAATGTGTTAAACGATCAGCTGTAGTGTGTTTGGCAACCAAATTGTAAAGAAAAGAAAAGTGCGCTCTGCTAATTCATGTTGAAAAGTATTTTTTATTTACTCGTTTAAGTGGATACTAATGAATTTGAAAGTACTTTTGGTTATTTACATGTGTGAGCTGAGTGTGTTTACATATAAAATAAGCAAAAATTTACAACCAAAATTTGGAGGTTTTGTCGAAATTGACAGAAGTTATCATTTTTTACTAGAAAGCGATCCCGTACCCTTCAATGTTACTCTCTCGCTCTGAGCGAATTTTTATTTTTTGACAGTTTTACTAGGTTTAGTGCGAGGCATACGGGATTTCACCTAAAATGTATTCAACAAAGTGTTATTTAGTTTGACATTGCTTTCATAAGAACCGTGCTATAAAGTCAAATTGAAAAAAAATTTTATATTTTTTGAGATTTGCTTCTACCGCCCTACTGGTCGATGACAGCTGTACGTGCCAAATGCGGCCGTATTTCCTTTGTGCTTTCAAAGTTTTAGAAGAGAACAACATAAACACGAATTATTTTTGTTGTTTGTTTGTGGATTCGTTAAATCTGGCTTGCAATAAAATAATTTATATTAATCTCTCTTTGTGTAGAATGCAGCCTACGTTTGGCTGAGCAACGCTTACCAGCTTTTTAAATATTAATTAATAACTTATACAATGCCATAAAATGCATAAATGCCTTATCGCGAACTCCATGTGAATAAATCGTTCCCATAGTTTAACATGCAAAACATACAGCTCTATTGCCAATTTCATGTGAATAAATTGTAATTTAACATGCCAAACAAAGACAAATTGGGAAAAATTGTTTTTGTTTTGCTTTATAATTCGTGGGAATATTTGTTCACGTGAAATTCGCGATAGGGCCTATAAACAAATCGGGAAAAATAGTTTTTGTTTTGCTTTACAATTTTTGGGAATATTTGTTCACATAAGGCCGAATACAGTATATTTTGCTTAGCTGCACATCCTTCTTTGCACGAAAAACTTGTGCACTTAACCGAAAAAGGCACTTAAGCGAATTTTCTTTACTACTTCAATGAGGAAGGTATCCAAATCCCTATGAAACCAAATAATGGAGAAGCACTTACCACGTAGAAATTACTGCAAGCGAAATTTTTACCGAAAAGTATATAATTATCTATATAACTACATAAATTTATAGCCATTTTCGTTGTTCTGCGAAATGAACAAAATAAATAAAAAGTTGTAAAATTAGGTAATTGTAGGGCCAGTGCAGGTAAACGTAATACTTTCTTTGATAATTGATACTAGTCGCAAAATTTTTAAGGCACGTATCGCCAATGTACAGGTATGCTAAATGCATCTATCGGAGCAGTTTCCTTATAAATGTTAAAAATAATGCCTCTGATGCGCATTTTAGGGTAGGTATCTTAAATGTGCACTTAAGCATAGAGGCAGCAAAGCAAAATATACTGTAATTAACAATAAATACTCAGCCGATGACAACAGGCTAGCACACGCACGCTTCATATCTCACCAATACAAAGTGGTGATTATTTCCTGTTTATCTATACGTTTGTGGGCAAGGCACGAGCAAGCATTTACTTATATATATGGGTGTGTTCAGAAATGCATCAAGCCAAAGCACCAGACGCATTTATTTCTAAACTATAATTGATGGAAATGTCCAACCACGATTAAATGCCTAATTGGAACTTAGTTGCGTAAATAAGCCATTTCCATCAATTATAGTTTAGAAGTAAAAGAGACTGTTGCATTTCTGAACGCACCCTATGTACATATATTTTTTGGTCATTACCAGAGCGCGTTATATCGATAACAGGAGCTGCGATACGATATCTGAAATATCGGAAGCTTTAATAGGGGTCTCCATCTATAGTGATAAAAGGATAAATTGCTTAAATTTATCAGTTTATCCATAAAGTAAAATTTCAATTATTTTTCCCCCAAGGAGGAAGAGGGGAAGAAACCAGTCGAATTTATATAAGGTGGTAGGGGTAGTACAAAAACAAAAACATGTATTTTGTGTTCGCTTTCGGGACACACGATGTCAAATTATAGCTATTTTTCGCTCAAAGACGAAAAGGGAAAGAAAATGCCAACACTTACTTTCGCACTCACTCAAGGAGTCTTGACATATGTCTACCGAGGCGAACCTTTATTGAAAATGTTCAAATATTCAGACAGGTTCTGCAATTCACTTCCGAGTGATTTTCAACCCCTGCCGGATACCATGCTTTCAAAAAAAAAAATATTTTTCATAATATTTATATATATACTACGTAGTACTAATTTAAGCAATTTTAGCGACTTTTGCACTGCCAACTGCACATTCATTATTTGTTTCGTTCATGGAATCTTTTTAAACCGCAGCTACGACCAGATCCAGCTTCATTTAATCCGCTATAAGCAGCTGCTTCCAAAGCTGTTTTCTTTTCCCATTCCAATTGTTTGGCTATATCAGGATCCATGCCATTTTTAACCATTCTTTCTATTCTTTCCTTTTGTTGTGCTGAAAATTCTCCGAAATCCTCTTGAATAGTTTCTTTCCTATGGCGTTTTTGGCGCTGAGCTTGTGCAGCTCGTTCTCGGTCTATCCTTTCTTTTTCTCTTCGCTCAGCTTCCTCTTTTGCCATACCCCCTGCAACCAGTTCCTTTATATGTCTCCTTTGAGCAGAGTTCCAGTGAAAATTACTAACTTCACTTTTGGTTCTCTCTATTCTTTCCTTTTCCTGTTCCGAAAGTTCTTTCCTGGGGAATTGTACGCGCCGACCTTGTACAGCTCGTTCTCGGACTATCCTTTCTTTTTCCCTTCGCTCAGCTTCCTCTTTTGACATACCCCCTTCAACCATTTCCTTTATATGTCTCCTTTGAGCAGAATTCCAATGGAAATAACCCACTTCCTTTGCTGTTTTGGTATTTCTTAAAAACTTTTCTTCTTCGTCTTCTGCTACCAAAACGAAATCATGCAAATAGCTGTACCTGCTGATATTAACTGGTTTTGGGAAAATGATGCCGTTCCGAACGTCTTCTACCTTCACTGGTATCTTTATTACATCAATTTTTTGACCGCCTTTCTTTACCCTCCTCCCCGTTAGAACCTATGCAAGATGGACATGAGAATTAATTTTATAAACATGTAACCTCTAAAGGAGTAATAAACTCACCGTTTGCGAGCTCATATCTACTTCCAAAATGCGCATATAGGTGGGTGCTTCAAGATTTACCTTACCGGAGGCACGAATAATTAGTCGGCCGACACCATGATTTGGCAGATTAGCCAAAAGTTCCGTAAGCGGTTTACCTTTTTCCTTTCTCATTTTCAAAAAAAAAAAAATTTTATTTACGGAAATATGTATCCGATTAAATAGTGGTAGAGAAATCCAAGCGTTCCAAACACGAAGTTTTTCTCAATTTTGCTTCGTTTGATAATTTATGTTGTTTCTTTTTTTTTGAAGCACTTGGCCCGGCTTCTAATCAAGCTACTTATAACGCCCCTAGTTCGGTTTATGATCAATCTGATTTTGTATAGGCTTCTGTGGCAAATTGGTGTAAATTTATGAAGTTGACTTTTTAGTTTGAGATAGGGATGAAACGATATGAATAACTACAACTAGTGATGAGCGATATTTCACTACCGGTGAATAATGAAAAAATCGTTTATAGTGACTGCTATTGCTAGGCCACAATATCTGTGATTGGTGATTTTTCTACTAGCATGATATTTTGCTGTGAATGAAAATCACATCTGGCAATAGCTAGTCAACAGAAGTTGCGAAGTGATTTTTCCCTTTCATGGTAGAAATAGTGATTTTACGATTTTTTATCGGAAATTTATCGAAACTAGCTCAAAAATCAAAACTTGCATTTTAATACGGAAACTAATTTAATACGGAAACTTATAAATTTTTAGGAAGAACCTACATTTTGCATAAATTTTGCAGCGAAGAAAAAAAAAAAACATTTTTAAAAAACTATTTTTATTCATAAAAAACTCCATTTTTGGAGGTATTTTCAAATCGATCCAGCTCGCCTAAATCTTAATATTTTTTCCCGAAATATTTTGGTAGACGTCTTAAGATATAATAGATTTTAAAATTCCAATGGAAAAAAGTACCGACTTTTTTTTTGTATGGGGAGTGATGCAGTCTAATGTACATATATATGTGTGAAATTGAAAATTTAAAAACCTTTTTGTGATGTTAGCAAACTTCAAAAATATTCGGGAGGTCTACTCTGTAATGCCATGCGAAAGAGGCTGCATCTCAGCGGTGTAACCTTTAAATTTTTGTCATGGCTACCTGTTTGATATGCATTTGTAGCAGTATATTAACATATTAGGGCTGCTCGGGATCTTGTGCATATGATATTACATTTGAATATTTCGGTGGATATGTAAATTCACAACAATCAGATACAAATGATGATGAAGAAAAAATTTGTATGGAGCTTGGATCCTATTAAATTCTCACAAAATAAAGAGCAAGTTTGAAGTAGCCGGGACTTAGCGTTGATCTTGGAAATTTGTTTTGTTGACGGTGTTACGTATTTTTTTACCCACGAAGTATATTCGATAATTTTTTATACAGAAGAAAACGAGCAGCACCTTTAACAAAAAAAAGGGGAAAATTATACCTACAAATTTTCATAATTTTTGCACAAAGTCTGAATATTGCATTTATATAGTTTTTGTTAGGTAATGAGCTATACTTTTATTTAAAAAAAAATAAAATAAATATATTTTACGGTGAAATTATTTTTATTTATGTATGTATATGAATTGGACTATACTTGGTTAATTAAAATCAAATTAAGAAAACGTTTGTACATACATATGTATGTATGAACATTAGTGATTTTAATCGAAAACTCAGAACGTAATACGTTTGCAACCGCTTAATATAAACGTGTAAATTGGGTATACATATTTATTATGTATTCATCTACATGCATACAAATATTATGTCTCAGGTTGCTTAAAAACTCATTCAATTCATTCAAAATTAATAAATCTGCGAAATGTTTTCAAATTGTAAAAATTTTCTCAGATATTGTTATAATCCAAAGTTGTATAAATTTAACCAATTTTAGCTACTTTTTCCTTTCCACGATCATACTCATTTGATGCTTCCGGCATAGATCTTTTTAAGCTGCTGCTAGGACCTGCTTCAGCTTCATTTAACCCGCTATCAGCATTTGCCTCCAAAGCTGTTTGTCTCTCCCATTCTAATTGCTTAGCTGTATCCGGATCCATGCCATTTTTAACCATTCTTTCTATTCTTTCTTTTTGCAGCGCTGAGAATTCTCCGAAATCTTCTTGCACATTTTCATTTCTGTGGAATTCTTCGCGGGGCCTTCTATGTTTTTCCTGATATTGATTATATCTTTTTACTTTATTACGAGACATTTCATAATCGCTGCCTTTTGGTGTTATACCACGAGTTTGATCATTATTCGTATTTTTCTTTTTTGGCTCTTTCTTTTCTTCGGGTTGATAATCGGAGTCAAAAGAACCGCTAGTTTCTCCTTCGTCATCCTCATCAAAATTATCAATGAAGTCAGTTTGGTTTAATTGCATAACCGGCGCTGTGCTTGGTGCTCTACCTTCGCGTTCAGCTTGTTCAGCTTCCTCACGGGCTATCCTTTCCTTTTCCCTTTGTTTTGCTTCAGCCGGTGCCAAACCCCCTGCTATCATATCACGTATATGTCTCTTTTGGGCTGCATTCCAGTAGACATAGCCCACTTGATTCGGTGTCTTGGCATTTTTTAAATACTTTTCTTCTTCGTCTTTTGCTACCAAAATGAAATCACTCAAATAGCTCGTACTGGCAATATTAACCGGTCGGGGAAAAATAACGCCGCGCCAAACCCTTTCTACCTTCACTGGTATCCTTATTTTATCGCCTTTCTTTCCTTTTCCCCTTTTAACCTAAGCATATATGTATGTATTAGTTGTATATATGTATGTATGTACATATGTAGGTATAACCTTTACAGAATTAATAAAGCAACTCACCATTTTCGAGCTCATATCTACTTCCAGAATTCGCATAAAGCTGGGTGCATCCATATCTTGCCTAAAGGAGCCACGAACAAGTAGCCGGCCGACGCCATGATTGGGCAGATTATCCAAAAGTTGCCAAAGGGGTTTGCCACGATAGTGCGGTCTATGACCCCTACGCCTACCTTTTTTCTTTCCCCTTCCCATGTTTAAAAAACCCTTCAATATTTTAACAATATTATTTATTTGATCAAATAGGGCAGGAAACCCTCAAGCGGCACAGAAAATTACAAAAACCGATAGTTCAATAAATTTGGCATGTGTATACCCAGTTTATCGATAATTTGTATAAATCTGGGAATATACGGCTCAGTCCGAACTGCTCAAGTCTGTATTAATCGATATTCAGGTAGTTCATACGCTTGAACCAAGTAGAAGTTATGACCGGTTGACAAGCGGCCTGTACAATAGTTTAGGTTTATAATAATTTAGTTATTTTAAAATATTTGCACAAATTTTAATTATAAATAAAATTAACAAATGAACTTTATTGGATAAAAATCGTTCACCGAATGAAAATTATAAATTTTCTATGAATAAGCATTAAAAATCTATAAGCCATTTGCAATAGCATTTGGGGAAAAATTGTATGACTATCGCATTCATTTGTTTTCTTTATGTGTATTTTGGCGGTGGTTTATTTCACTGATTTTCAATAATTTATTTTTGTTCAAATACAATTAAAATGAAGTGTGTGGTAATCGGTTGCAAAAACACGTATGTGCATAAATAATAAATTGGTTTGCACAAACTTGCGCTCAAAAATTGCTTTAATTTTTTTCTTTATGCTTTGTGTTCATATTCTTTGTTTACTTCTGGGTAATTTTGAAGTAAACGAAATGGTTTCGAGATTACAAACGACAGCCAGAAAACTACTTTTTTTGTGCTTTATCTTGTCAAACCTTAGCTGTGTTTTATTGGGCAATGGTCGAGATCCGTATAAAAAAAATTGCACACAAATGCAACAACAATGATTTATGATCCGCTCTGTTTGGTTTGTGTCACTGATAATTTGGCAGTACGGTTTGGTAGCACTGACAAATGAATGTATACACAAAAAGATATTCTGCCATTTCTTGTTCTTTCACACTTGCCGCATCAAAATCAGTGTTGCCCTGTGTTGTTATAGTGGCAAAGAATCTCGAAATTTGTTTACACTGGCAATGAAGTATCTTTGCGAACCACCTTCTTCAGTGAACTCAAAAATAGTGTTTAGCAAGAATGATTGAATACAAGATTGTGCCGATTGCAGCAGAATTCGTGAGAGTAATTTTGGCGTGACGTCACCGTAGATTTGACAACTGAGAGCGGAAAATAAAACTGGTGTCTAGTGTTGTGCTGAATTGTCGGTACCCAATACTTAAAAAAGGTTTCGGTACCCAATACTTCCTTATCGGTACCCGATACTGATTATTTACATTAAACCTTCGCCATTATATGCATTTCAAGTTTAGAAAAAACTTTCATTACTAATTTATATGATATCGGCTAAAACACTTGAACTTATCGCAACAGAGAAATAATATTTTATAAGTTTTAACCCTAGTCGATCCAAGGTTCAAGAAAAATACTTTGATTGATGAAGAAGCCTTTTAAGGGGGGGCGGGGTGTGTCGCTAAGTGGTTACAGAATCTGCCTACAAAAATGATATCGTCCGATTCAGCTGGAACAAAACTGCTTCAAACAAGTAAGAGTTTCCCTGTATTATGGCCTCGAACCGACAAATACATCTTTCATTTGAATCAGTATTAAAAGGTCTATTGGCTCCTACATTCGGGATTTGATAGGCGAGTCGCCCCTGAACCGTTTTTTCCAAATTTTTGGCCTATGTGGGCTTTTATTCGAAACCTAAATGTTTCGGTACCGAGTATCGACAGTATTGGATACTTAAAACTTGACTCCGCACATCATTACTGCTGTCATCTCAACTGTGACGTCAGCAAAACAGCTGATTCTGTCAAATTCACTGAGAGCCGATTAGCGGTATTGCCATCGGCGCCACCTTCTGTATTCTCTCCACCGTGAGTGTTTTGGGCATCGGGTAGCATTTATGTTGAAAATAGAAATGGGTTCCTGACCGATAATGCGGAAATGCTTCTTTTCATAATGGAAAATATCAAAATTTTTAACTCTAATTACTAATTAGATACTATTAAATTTGTTTATAATAATTAAAAAAAAAAATGCTGCACTAGATTTTTAAATATAATCTTCTATAATCGAAATCCGGAAATGCGGAAGGATTTGAGCAAAGCCGAATAAGCTGGATTCCGGATATCTACCTGATACCCAGCACATCCCTAATAAATAAATACTCTTGGGGAATGTGCCTCGGCATGGACAACGTGGTGGAATATAGGTGAACAATCAGCATAGGGCTCAGACCAGGTATTCCTCGGTCTACAACAACTTTTAGCACTCCCACCTTCAAAGCCACCATCAGGAACTAGGGGAGAGATGAGTGGTAGGCTTCAAAAGGATGAAATTAGGCGAAACTCATGTTGTCCTCAACTTCGGAGGGTCGTGCAAGGTATTCGCTTTCATTGAACAGGTTGGACTGCAGGCTATTTGTGGGACTGTGAACTGACAACTTTACGTGGCACAAACACCTGATGGTTTGCGCTTACATCTCAAGTTTAGCAAATACGCGAACCATTCTTTTCTGACAGCACTTGCACTTCCTTCAGTTTTCGTTATATTTATTTAGCTTCCGCGCTTTTAATAACAGTTGTTTAGAGAATAATAGCTGAAAAGCTGCGAAGCAGATTTGTTTTTGCACAATGTACATACTGAGAAAGATTGTATGTATGTATGTAAGTAGTTCTCAAATTGAAAAGTATTTTTTTTTTTATTATTAAATTAACTTCTTACAGCCTTAAGCAATCGTTTTTGTTTAATTAGCCACCAACCACCAAGCAAACCATCACTGCCGACGGACTTCATGTCCGTCATATTGTATTTCGTGACCCAGCGCCGTAGTTTCAACATCGTACGACGTATCATCTGCTTCCGCACTAGGCGGATTGTGAATGGTGCTTTCATGTAGGCCGATGGTGGCATGAGCAGCTGCTTTCGATGCATTCACCTGTGCCTCGGCGGCAGAAGAAGCCGCTTTATATGTGGCCTCCTTCGTAGCCTCGTAATCCACACGCGCCTGCTTCAATTGTTCCTCCACCTGTTCGACACGACTTCTGGCCTGCCCAACCATGGTCGATTGTGAAGCCAACTGATTGGCCACCTCACTTGAAGCTTGCTCAGCTTGTTCGGCCACCGACTTTGCATTATTCACGGCCGCTGTTAGCACAGAAACATGATGATTGGCAGCCTGTGCGGTCTGTTGAGCCAACTGCGAGGCAATCTTAGCTGACTTCAATTGCTCCAGCTCACGCGAAAGTGAACGTTGCGCTTCCGCTGCCTGTTGTTCCAACTCCTGTAAGAGGACCTGCTTGCCCGCCAATGCTGCCTGCGCTGTGGCGGCCGCTTGTGAGGCTGCCTGTGCCAAAGTGTTTTTCGCTATGAAGGCTGCCTGTTTGGCGGCGGCGTGTTGATTGGCAACCGCAGTGTAAGCCTGATTGGCAGAACCTTGCGCTATGGAACGCAAGCCGCTGCCGATGCTGTAACCTGACTTGGTGCCGCCACCACCACTGCTGCCGCTGCTACCGCCACCGCCACCGCCGCCGCCTCCTACATGCGAGTGTACACTGGGGGACGATGGCTTATATTCATAATAAGAGCTACTCGGCACCTCATGGGATGATGGACCAGAAGGCAACTCATGCGCGTGAACGGAATTGCTAACCTCGTAGTAGCTATGATGCGAAGGTCCATGTGGGGGTCCCACTGGCGTTTTGTAATGATAACCGCTGCGTTTATTCAGGCGACCAAATGTTGTGGAACAACAAAGTGCTGTAAGGAGAAGATAAGAGATTTTTAGCTATAAAAATTAAACAAATTTATTTCTGCAAATTTTATTTCTATACATACCCAATAGCAGTAGCGTTGCCGCTGGTATATTGGTCAAGTTACACTTGATCATGCTTGTTGCAAATTCGATAATGAACATTTGAATATCCTGCACATTGGTTTTATATGTACACAGAAAGTTGCAAGCAAATCGCTTAAGCCCAAAAATGCAAACACACCTATGTACGTATGTAGGCACGTGTATGCGTAGATATGCACACTTGAAACTTCCCATAACTAATTTCTTATGGCGGGCCACACATAAAACGGTGGTTGCGCGCTCAACCGCACGTTACGGCCACAAAATGCCGCGCGGCGGTATGATCGCAATTTTGTCTAACTACTTTGGCTACTTAATTTGTTACTAAGTTAATTTAGTATTGTAGTTGGCCACTTGGCAGTTGTAGTATGCGGCACTGGCCGTGCATGCTCATTACTTTTAAGTCTTCGTTCTTTTTATATATATTTCTTTTTCTTTTTTATTACAACACTGGGTTTGGCTATTTTAGACCACACATTATGGTATCATAAGTAGTTTATATGAGGAAGTGAAATTTCCAAGTGGTGGTTATCACGCTTGCTGCAGTTTAGGTATTATAATAAGTACGTACGTATGTATGTGTGTACATAGGCGGTTAAAGAGAGTAAAAGAAATTTAATGAGCTATGGGCAGTTTACTAAATCGTAATACAAACGCTTTGAGAAAGGCAATAAAACCGATTGGTAAGGCTATAACTTATTTTTATCAACAGCAATAAAAATCATGCCAAGTTGCAGTCATCTGTTTTGGGGTAGGGTGCATTTATCGAAGAGACTGTTACGTACAAATAAATATGTATTAGCTTAGTCTAAGATATTTTCAAAAATTAAAGCAACCATGCAGCAAACGTTCCTTCACTCCACACTGCTTGAAGAAAATATGTTTGTACCAGATTGCACTCACCCGCTTAGCTGAGTGTATGAAATTTCTGCGTGTTACATTGGGTGTTGTTTATTAAAAAAAAAATCTCAACATACCTTAATTCAGCCAAACACATAGGAGATTTTTCCGTTTTTAACCCTCTCTAAAATATTAACGATCTAAAACCTGCTTAAATCTCTTTCTAGTGATACATTTTCAATTCCTTTATTACCTTCAAGCCCAATTTGAGATTTTTAAACAGGTGGCAACCCTGCTACATGTAGTTTAGTAATGGAACCTTCTCAAAACTATTTCGTAATAACTCATTACAATTATTAAACGTAATTGAGCTTTTTAAACAGGTGGCAACCTTCTGAAACCTCTTTTATCGGACATCCATATTGTGATATATAGTATGTGAATACATACGTAACTCACTTACCTAGTTCCCTGAATTAAGGTTAACTTTTATTTTTCAAATAGGTGGTAACCATGCTTTACTATGTAGCTTATAAATAAATAATTTTCTAGAACATTTCGATTGATACCCACATTGTAATAATTCATTTAACTTATAAATTAACTTTAGTTTAAAAAAGATGGCAACCCTCTTAAAACACCTGCAAAGATTTTACATGTTCAAACTTAAGATTTCTAAATACTCATGCATTTTACACTTTAACTTGTATATAATTTAATTAAATTCGACTTTTTAAACAGGTGGCAACCCTCTTCAAAATATTTTCAAACTATAACCATATTGTTATACATACATATTCCAATTATTTAATACCCTTAGGTCAAGTAGAACTAGATATTTTTAAGAGGTGGCAACCCTCCCACAAGTAGTTTAGAAATACAGATTATAAAATCATTTTGATTGAAACCGATTATGTAATAATTAATTTAAATTAATTGAATTTAATTTTTGAACTGGTTGCAGTCCTTATAAATAAATCAATAATATTCTAAGAGTTTCTTAACAATCTTTCGTTTGACACCCATATTTTAATTCTTCATATACTACATATGTAGCTGGCGAGTAATTGGTTTAATTTCGACTTTTCAAACAGGTGGCAATCTTTTTCAAAACCTTTTCAAACTACAACCTTCCTAAGCTTCTCTCGCCTGTAACCCAAATTGTTACACAAATTTCAAATAAATAATTCCACAGGTGGTAGCCCTCCTCATTAAGCATGGAATCGATTTTAAATATCTCCCAACCTAGTTCTAGTACTCTACCACAAATACTTCCAGAGATATGCAGAGTGCAAAATTCAGTTTGTATAGGAGGTGCGACTTCGCCTTGTCTAATCGAGATAAAAGCTATTTTATCTTTTAAGTTGGGCTAAATTCCACCAGTATGCAAAATGATGATCGGTTGCGCAGTTAAAGCGTGAAAGCGCAACAAACAAATGGGAATGATTGGAAAGAAGATAAAATTCTCACGGATTGCTTGGTGTTATATGTAGATATCTCTGATAGAAGTGCATTTGAGCGCTGATGAGTGCTGTGTTTCAGAAAGAGCCGTCCAAGAAGAAGAGCCTCGCTCTAATAGACAAGCCATTGAGTAATCGTATGGTGGCCAGGTGACTTTAATGATGGGGTAGCACCAGCAGCTCCGCAGACCTAAAAATAGCTACCTATCGTAATCTCGGTCAATAAACCCACCGACTTTGTTCCGGCAGACAACCGTACTATATCAACTTTTAAAAAGCTCATTGGGACGACTTCACGAATATTACCGAGAGTAACTTCGCCGGCCTTTCCACAGCCAAAAATGTATCTCTTGGCGAACGTCAGCTCCGCAAGTTAGTCAGTACTGCAGAAGCTCGTGAAACATATGCCTTGCTTCCGAAAAATGCGGAGCACCACCACTGCACTTAACGCCATAAACACCCAGACAACTTGTGGCCACAAAACGAAACCTCCCCTGTGAGAGAACGGTCCTAGTAGTCTTTGATACCGTCTGTCATTCCACGCTGCAATAAGACATTGAGCCTTCCTCTCTCCCACAGGGATACAAACTGCGGTCAGAGAACTACATGAGTGGTTGAGATAAAATTTCTAAATCAAGAAGAATTAACTAGGGCTACCACAGGTCGGTTTCCTATCCGCGCTATTGCTTAACTTCTAATTCCCTGAGCTTCCCCAGCCACCGGAGGGAGTTTCCCCTGATCTCTTACGCTGACGATTGTTTGATATTGGCTTCCAAACGATGACCCCGAACGTAAACGGTTACCTCTCCGAACTTCTTTACTGTTCGGAACATAACCCTCTCCCGACGAAACAAACGACGACTCTTTGCACCACTTGGGCGAACGAAGTTTAGCTTCAATTAGGTATCCACATTGATGGTACACCAATTCCGACGGTAAACAACCTAAACATTTTAAGGGTTTTCTTTGACAACTTGCTCTCCTCCTCTGCGCACACAATTTTCAAGAAAGTAAATACATACATAGCTTACTTTTTAAAACTCCACCAATATTGTAATGTTTCACGTAAATTGTGCACAATTTACTTAAATTCAACTTTTCAAACAGGTGGCAATCCTCTTCAAAAATATGTCCAAACCACAACTCCTTTTTTTTTGGCAACCACATGTTTACAGCTGGTTTTGCGGTAATTGTCATTTTTGCACCATCTTTCGCACTCGCCCCAAATATTCTACAAATTTTAGTAGGAAAAACTCTTCTTACTGAACATTTTGTGATACATCTTTCAAATAACTTATGAAACAGGTGGCAGCTCTCTTCAAATACCTAAAACATTTTCTAAATATTTGTCAAAGTTTTCATTATATCAAATGTTAATTCACCCTGTACCGCGAAAAAAGTTGGATATGACTTTTCGAACAGATGGCAACCCTAATCAACAATATTTTCAAACTAAAAACTTTTTAAATAACTTTCGTCTGACACTATGATGTATATTTTAGCTAACTGATGAATTAAGTTGAATTTGACCTTCTAAACAGGTAGCAACCTTCCTCCATATAGTTTAGAAATTAAGTATTTTTATACCCATTTTGATTAATACAAATACATTATTAATAGATGGAATAATGTGTTAAACTTAATTTGAATTTAACTCTTTAAACGGTTGGCAACCCTCTTCAAACATCTCAAAAACATTCAAAGTTTTCAAACAAAAGATTTCTTAACACTATTTTGTTCTAAACCCATATTTTAATATTTCGTACACACATAGCATGTACACCTTAATTAAATTCGACTTTTAAACAGGTGGCAACATTCTTAAAAATATATCCATACAAAAATTTTCTAAAATTGTTCGTCGGACACCCATATTCTGATATACTTCAATTACCTAATTCGCTTAATTCAAGTTAAATTTAACTTTTTGAACAGGTGGCAACCCTCCTACTTGTAGTTTAGAGATAAGGCCTTTTATACCCATTTCGATTACCATCCATATTGTGACAGTTCATTTAGCGTATAAATAATTTGAATATAATTTTTTAGTAGGTGGCAACTTTTTCCGAAAAAACTAAAACCTGATTGCACGTCTACAGGACACGGCCTTTACTTCGACACCTCGTACGTATTATTTATTTTTTAAGATTCCATAACTCTTTACCTACCTAGATAACTTGATACTTTCTATCCCCTTAACTCAAAATATTGAACAAATCAAACAAATTTTAATTATAAATAGTTTTTATTTAAATTTAAAAAAGCAGGATATTAAGTTTCGTAAATATAAATTAGTTAATTCTCGTAGCAGCCTCCTTTCGCAAACGGCGCTAAGGCGATCAATGAAATAATTTATAAAAAAATGGAAGAAGGCAATAAATATTTACACACAAAACACAAAAACAAAAAAATAACGAAAACAAGCAGTTGCACTGAATAGTATGCACTTACACTTACAACACTAACAAAAATAAATAATATCATTAACATATCTACTCATACACGTACGAATGCATCATAACGACGCAACAAAAAATGGCTCATCGAAAGTGAAAGTGGAACACATCTCGGTCTTGCAACTGACAGCTGTTGTGATAGGCTAATGTGGTCGTCAACGCCGGTGCCACCGCCGTCGCCGCCGCTACTCATTTATAGTATTGCGTAATCTGACGAATCCAGTCCAAATAGTGTGAGACGCGTACATACACACCGGGCACATTGGCCTGACCGCAACCGATGCCCCAGGATACAACACCGACCACATTCCAAATACCGTTGCGTTCGCATACCAATGGGCCGCCACCGTCACCTTTGCATGCATCCTTGCCCTCCTCACCGCCGGCACAAACAAAGCCGGGATTCAATTTGTAACTGTAGCCAAGGCGAGTTTGACGCAATTGCGATTCGCATTGATGGTGGGACAGGATGGGGACGTCCACTTCCTTTAGGATATTCTGGTATTTGCCATGCTCGCCGAAAGCATCTTTGCCCCAGCCGGTAGTCCAGCAGCGCGCCCCGGTAAAGTCGGAGAATTTTTCTGGCAGGCAGGCGGGGCTGATGTGTGGATTCTTGGTGAAGTCGACGGGGTGGTCAAGTTTCAGTACAGCTAAATCATTGTCCAAAGTACCAGCATAGTATTCGGGATGAATGTGTACGGAGACAACATCGCGTTCAATGTACGGGAAGAATTCCACATCGTGATTGACATCCCACTCGCCGAGACGGGCGCGGAGGTCGAAGCCGTTTTGTCTATTTTTTTTTTTTTTTGGGAGGAAGCGTGAATAAATTAATTGGACGTAAATATTTATGCGAGTTAGATGTACTTACGACTTAATGCAATGAGCAGCAGTGATCACGTGTTGTGCATCGATCAGTGTGCCCCCACAAGCGTAGACCGATTCCTTGGGGTCCTTCTTCAAGATGGCCACATGCCATGGATACTCGCCGAACTCACTGTCGCCGTCAATGTAGGATGGGTTCTTGATACGACCCGTGATGCCAGCAGCGTTGCGCGTGCCACAACGACCAAGCTGTTGCTGGGCTGGCGGTTGCGGACGCAGTGGACGACGACAGCAGACCTCATTGACGCGGCAAGTCTTCTCAACGGGACGGTTACCGTAGTAAGCGCGCTGTGAAAAAGTGAAAGTAATTTTAGCATCGATTTTAGGTTTTGATGTTTTTCTCCCGCCCTTTGCTTAGCCCTCACTACTACCCGCTTTACCTGTTCAGCCTTTACGGTTCGTGCCAATACACTCTGCTTACGTTCCGCCGTCTCCTCATGCTCAACCACATCGCGTCGACGGCGATCACGTGGAAATGTCACGTAGTCGCTACCCTCCGCGGCACCAGGCGCTTGTGCTGGTATGGGACGCTGGTGAGACTCATAAACCAAACCTTTACCTCTGCGATTGGGCAGCGTATTCAATTCTTCATGTTTCGGACCGTGCGCAGTCGGTCCCTTGAATGCCACGCTCAAATTGGAGCTGCGTTCCTCATAAGCATTATAATTTCCGCCGGCGAAAAACTCACCACCATGACCGCTTGAACCGAAGCCGGTTGAGTAGCCGGCGTGCGATAAGCCGCCGCCATAACCGTCCGCACCATGACCGCTAGCGCCATACCCACTTGAAATGGGACCGCCGAAATGCCCAGGCCCCGTGCTGCCCAAGTTATAGCTCGGATATGATACATGTTCGCCCACACCAGAAGTGCCGGGATAATAACTACCAGCGGATGTTGTACCAAATGAAGCGTGTTGGAATTGTTGGCTCGCAAAATGTTGCTGGTGGTGAAGAAATCCGGTATCAATGATTGTGTTTGCTGGCGCCGTTACAGTGCTATGATGTTCATATATCGGTTTGCTCGGCACCACATCGATGATCGTAGCACTTGGTGCTGTGCCGCCGTAAATGGGCCCAGGTGCGGTAATGTCATGCGGATGCGAATGATGATCGTGCTCGAAACTACTGTAATGATCGTGATGATGGTAATGTGTATTGTGAATTTGTTCGGGCTTCGATTTGAATAGATCACCGACTTTTTGAAAGATTTTGGCATTCGGCGTGACATGCAAATTGACTAGTGGTTTCACCACTTTGTCGCCGAATTCGGTTTTGCTAACCTGCACGGAGACCAATGGATTTACATTCAAAAGGCCAAGATTCAAGCCATTCGGTCCAATCGAGCCGAAATGTGGATTTGGTGCGGGATGAAAGTCGCCTAGTGCATTTGCGGGATAACCACCACCGCCGGTGGGGTATGGTAAGCCAAATGATACGCCATAAGTGGGCAGAATCTTACGCCTTATCAGCTCGAGGGCTGCTAGGTCGGGTATGCCGGTGCGCTATATATATGGTAAATGGTTGGAGTGGGACAAGTGAGAGAGAGAGAGGAGATGAGATGAGTAAGTTCGTAAGAAGTTTAGAGGGGAAGGAGCGTGTATGAGGTTGGATTTGGCATGCTAGTAGGCGTGCGACTTGGACCCGAATGGTATGAATACTTTGGCTGTGCAGTTAGATATGAAAAGTTTTAGTCGGATTAGTTACGGGGTAAGAGCGTCACGAAATGCCGAGACACATTGACGAAGGGTTGCTAAATAATTTTAATAGAGTCCACATTCTCGGTTCTCTTTCTATGCTTGGCTGGTGTTGCTGGAGGGAGTACGACGTGTGACGCGAACAGTGGTTTCATGAGTGTGCTGTGGAACGTAGTAGAGTGAAATACCTATACCTGACTGTACAGATTAGTTTGTATTAATATTAATTTTTTTTGTTTGTTTCAGGTACTTAGGCACGAAATTAATAGGGTTACGGTTAACATAAATAGTTGACAATAAAAATATATAACTGAAAATATCACTTACCCCTTCGGCATCTAGCGGCAGATCAGCTGCACCTTCGTCGGACTGTTTGTCCTCGGCTTTCACCTGGCGCTTGCTGCGCTTAGTTTCCTCATCCTTTTCCTCATCCTTCTTTTCATCTTGCTTCTTATCTTCTGCCGCGCTGACGGTTGCATTAGTCGCCGTTTCATCGCCCAAGGCTTCGATATCTTTGCCCAAGTTACGTGGATCAATAGCCAAGATGAGGTCCTCTTTGCGTCCAATGCGATCAGCAGCAGGACATTGGTTGAATGGCACACATTGACAGTCGACGATTTGTTGACGTGCGGGATCATAACCGCCTTGATATTGGCCGCCCAAATTGTTTCCTAAGCCATTGTAGCCGCCGCCGCCGCCGCCGAAGTTTTGCAGCTCTTTCTTGTAGTAGTCAGGGTTTTGGCTGTGATAACTGCCGCTGACGCCGCCCAAGTTGTTGGACTGTCCAAAGCCACTTTGTCCGAAACCGCTAACGCCAGCTGGTTGTTCATAAATGCCCGCAGGCACTGCGCTATTAAAACCGGGTTGCTCATAAATGCCTGGAGCGCCAGCATTACCACCAAAGCTACCGAAACCGCCAGCAATGTTGGGTTTCTCATACGCGCTGAATCCGTTGGCTGCCGCCTGCGAGAGTAGTCCGCCCTGTGAGGCGCCATTGTAACCAGCGCTGAAGGCATTCGATTCGGTGAAGCCACCCTGTGTTTGCGGTGTGAAGGCAGTCGAGGATTGCGCAAGCGCCGAGAAGTCGGTGTTTATCGCTTGTCCAGCGCCAATTGGTATGGGCACAGTGGGCACTTTAGCGCCAGCAACACCGTCGGTGCCCTCGACATGGTGGAAGTGGTGATGCACGTGCTGTTGTAAGCCAACACCGGGCCCAGACGCTGGTACAGCATTCAAGTTGCCAACGACAACTTTCGAAGAAGAGGAAGCTGAGGCGGAAGATGATTGCTGTGCGTAGAAATTGGATGGCGCGGAACCAGATGCGTGAATTTTCTCAGCACCAGGGTTTTCAAAGGCGTATGGTGGTAGCACCTCCGCATTGCCGCCGCTATAGACGGGACCGGGTGGCTTGCTGCCGTAAATAATAGTGCCAGGTGGAGGTCTGTTGAATGTGGTGGGACCGTTGCCGCCAATCGCTGAGGGTGGTGGACTTTCCAAGTATGGGCCATTGTAAACCGGTCCGGGGCCAGATGGTCGATAGGGCGGCTTGTAAGCGCCTTCATAGCCAACTTTACGCGGTGGACCGAAAGAGTTCAACGATGATGGTGGTGGAGGACGACTATTGTAGTGTCCGGGTGGTGGCATTGGCTTCGGTGGTCCGTATGGACCACCACCGAAAGAGGGTGGTGGTGGAGCTTGCGCATAAATTGTCGAATAGTAAGGACGTTTCTCTTCAACATCACAGCTCATGAGGCCGAGACCACAAAGTTTGTCGCGTATCAGATTGCGTGCTTGCAGATCATCACCTTGCTGCAGCGCCTGATCGATGTTACCATCAGCATACACCTGATCGTATTCGCCCAGGTTGCGGCCTTCGCGACGCGAATTAATGATTTGATCGATAACGGCATTGATGTCGGAGCTAGTGTCGTTGCTGTAGATATTCTCATGCACGTCATAATTGCGACCCTGCACCTCAGCAGGTTGCACAGCGGTTGGACTTGCATTGTCCGATTCTGTGGAGCGTCGGCTGAGCATTGATTCCTTTGAGGGTTCCCAGCCGCCACCCCAAGACGACTCCTGTGCGTGTATGAGTGAACAGCCAGCCAAGAGTATGGCGGCCATGACAGCCAGACGGTGTGTTAATCTCATTATGCAGGCGTACGAGCTGTAAAAAGATGCAAATAATGGATGGGAGATTAGTGATTTGCGGTAAGTGATGCGCGATGATGAAGTAACAATTTAAGTGTTTCACAAGTTCAATGTTGTCTATTTTTTTCTACTTCAGCTTCAACTTTTAACTTCTGCTTCTCGCTCTCTCTCTCTCGCCTTTTCGCATTTTTGTAGTGTTAATTAACCTAAATATTAATGATGAGCGTAGACAGATTTGTGGTCATTGTGCTACTTCTGCGACTGCATACGCGCTTGCGCAAAGATCAACAGTAAATATTGTTCATGCAAGTATTTCGGCAATTGCTGGCTGGCAACCAGTTTGTGCGACGCATTTTATTCATGTACAACAAATAAATAGCCAGCGCGTTGGAGAGTGAGTTGCGCACTCAAAGCGAAGAGCTTGAAGAAATATGAGTCACGCTTGAATGCGCCGATTGTTGGCCGGCGCAGCGGCGAGCTGGAGCAATGCGCGAAAGACTTTTACTTTCGTTTTAAGGTCGTTAGCTCGAAATAAAGGGGGAACAGAAAACCAAAAAACCAGAAAACATAAATAAAAAAGTGTATAGTATAGTAAGCGGTGTTGCAAGCCGCTCGCTAAAGTCGAGTGCGGATGTACTGGAGGTGTGAAGGCGCTGTTGCGCGATTTATTTACCTTTTCTGCTGTTTTGTTTTTATAGCTTAACCTCGCTGCGGAGGAAGTGCTTTTTACGCTATATTTTTTTTTTCTACTGATGTAAGCGCTTAGGCTTGGCGCGGGAAGTTTTATGCTAATTTGGTATTTTATCTAAAATTTTTCCTCTACCAAAAGAAAATTTGCAATACGGTTACGTGTGATTTGTTGATAAACTCCTTAAATGCAACGCTGTGTGACCGTTACATATGTCAGCGCAGAGCTGAGCTGAGCTCATCGACTAAAGGCAATGGCATAGTTGGGGGAGAAGTCGTGACTTTTGCGGCGTTTGTTGCTTGGCTTTTGTGTAAGACCTTTCCTTACTTGTAATACATACATACATAAATGTTTTACTTGAATGCGTCGGGGCACTGGATGGCTGGTGTTGCCTGACAGTTTTTTGTTATTTATTTATTTATTTTTTTGTTTTTCTACTTTTGGCGGCATTATGCAACTGGCGAGCGAGTAGTGCTGCTGTGTGGGTTCAAGGTATTAAATACATCTACTACTTTTGTATAGGTAAGTGTTTTGAGCAGCTGGCTGGATTTGACTGTATTTTTGGCTATGCCTTCAGCTGTTATGTGTAGGTTTAAGATTTAGTAATTATGTTTCTTTTTAATTATGTTTTCTGGAGCGCAAAAAATATTTTTTTTTTGTTACTGTTAAAAAAAAGCTCACTTGGGCAAAAATAGCGCAGCCTGCATGTGAGTGTGCGTTATTGTATGCTGATTGTGAACGAATGCGTGAAAGATACTGAATTTTTAAGCAACTACACATTTTTAATAGTTCATTGTCTGTTTGATTTAAATTTTTTTATTTTTACTTTTATTATGCAACCGCATCCGATTCACGTATGTAGTGTAACCATATGTTGCATATGTAACGGTTTATTTATTTTTTTTTGGAATCAACGTAGGGGAAATGTATGGAAATGTGTAATGTCGGATCCGGTGAGTGGCCTGTTATGGCGCGCGTACACTATCGCTTGTTTGAGTGTTCGTGTGTGTGTGTGTGTGTGTGTGTGTGTGTGTGTGCGTTTTATGCAATGTTGCACGGGGTTTGCAAGATGAAAATGCCTATATATGTATGTATGCATGCATAATATTGTATAATTTTAATTATTTAAGAGTCTCGTATGCTGCTGATTTATATATAAATTTTATTTTTTATTGCTAATTGTAAGTGTTTAAATCTCACGGAAGGTAAAAACTTCACATACGTGCGGGAAAATTTCCCTTTGTCAGCAAGCATTTGAGAAAAAAATTTATTGCACTTTCTACTCCACTTTTCTGTGTCTCTTAAATAGTAAGTATTTGTAGAAAACTGGTTTGGCGAAATTGTCTGTAACAGCTGAACTAAACGGAAAAAGCTATATAAAAATTATGCAAAGTCGTTCCTAGTAAGTTTTTTTTTTAACTGAGTAGGCTATTTTGATTGTTTTTTATTATTAAAAATTTGATGAAAAAAGTCATCTAGCGGTGCAGAGTGCTTTTGGCGTAGCATACCAGTGCTGATTGCCAGATACGATGCGTTCGGGATAATTATAAAATATGTTTTTGGAAATTTTCTTTTTGATGCAGAAAAACGTCTAGATGCACTAGGAACACTTCTGCATCAAAACAAAAAAATAATAAAAAATTTTTAAGTTAATTAAATAGAATGGAAATTTATTTAACATGGTTGCTTTCAGTGGCAAAAAAATAAAATTTAAGTAAATTTATTAAATGAACATTTTTTAAATTTTTATTTAAAATTTTATTGAGCTTGCGGAAAACCCACATTCAAAATAAATCGTTACTAGGCTAGAAAATAACAAAAACAAAATATTGAAACTTTTTCTTTAAACTTTTTAAATTAATTTTTTTAGCTCTCTGCTTTAGCTGCGCTCCAGCTAAAATCCTTTGCTCTTTACTCCATTGCTCCACCAGCATATTGACCTTTTAGGTACTGCAAAATGCCTCGCGAAGACTTTTAGAGTATCGAGAAGACCAATCCTAAGCTTAAACTCACTCCTCATAACCACAGCCTTGTCATGAACCTACCAAAATTAATTTTTAAATTCTATCACCGAACGACAACACTGAAAAAAACCGAATCTTTCTTTTTAAAAAACATAAGTGATTTTGATACAGTTAAAATTATTTTAGTAATAGTCTGCACGGAAAGGGATAAGATGTATACTATACCTATGTATATCGCGATTATTTTCTAACACTGCTAGGAGTAGTTTGTAAATTAATAATTATAATTTTTTGGGTAACTGTATGTATTGAGTATATCATCTCACTGGCAAAATTTGAAATTGAATAGTTGGGCAAGGTTGGAATGCTCGGAGAGTAGATGCTACCCACACTTGGGCCATTTATAGAAAAAGTGGGACACTGTACATTATTGTTTTTTAGCAGATTCAAGATTTTTCAGATCATTTCCTGTAGGAAAGGGAAGCATTTCATTTCGTTGGACAGCTAACTTCATTTTTAATATGTATACGATATCATTAGTGGGAAAATTTCCTCCTCGCTGTTCATGGAATGCATGGGGAAACTTTTTTTTTCAAAAATCTCCTCAGTAAACTTCCTCAAGCTTTCCATAAGAAGCAAAAAATTTCGATTCAAAACTTCTGCTTTGTTTCCATAAGCAACGAAGGGGGGCATTTCTACATTACTTGCAATTGTAAACTTTCCATATTTTCCTTAACGGTTGCTAACAGACATTTTAAACCAGTGTTTGACGACTTTTGATCGACGTTTACAAATGATGGGCCCTCTTCGACGTAATAGGCTTAAGGGCTAACCAGAACCTGCGGCCAGTCTTCTATCACAAAATAGTTTTTGCAGGCTAATGGCCCCGTCAGAATGGGTACTTTGTGTACGTCAAGGATAAAACTAACAGTTGAGTAGACTATGCGTGTTTGCATAGAGAGTAGAGGTGTCAAACTATCGATAGTCACACCATCGATAGTTTTGATAGTTTTCAGAAAAACTATCAATATTCACGATAGTCTCAAAAAAAAAACAAATCTATCGATAGCACTATAGATAGCGCTAAATCAGTTCGGTTGCTTTGTTTTTACAGGATCATAGTGAAATAATATTACCTTATAAAAGTTATAATCATTCAAAATTAAGCAAATGCTTAGCCAAAATACTTCTTTTTTTATAAAGTTCAAAAACAAACACAAGTTATACAAACAAAACAGGATTTACGATTAACATATGTATGTATTTTGGCCTAAATGCGTACATATGTGAATATGACTTCGGCATCAAACTAAAAAAACAAAATTTTTAATCCAAATTAAAAAATTCAAATAATTTCAAAATAATTGGTAGAGATGATCGATACTTTTGATAGTATAAGAAAAAACTATCAATGAGTATTTATAGTCTACAAAAATTGAAACTATCGATACTATCGAAAGTGCCATCGATAGTTTGACAACTCTAATAGAGAGCATCAGATTGGCAACCCTTGCGTCGACGGACCGAACGAACATTGGCCAACACTCAACATTTGACGCACGTAAGTCCGTCGCTGCTGACAGTTGTATAAGCTTGTGTTTATAGAAGGTAAAACAATTGAGAGTATGTACTAATTGTCAAATTGTTTTTGTTGTAAACTGTCTTCGATAACCCAGCTACAGTGACGAAGACATTAAGAGAAGTGTGAATATATAGGTAAAATAAAGTGTGAATGTTTTGCTATTGTATCTGTAAAATTGACTTGTGTAAACTCCAAGTACGCGGCCATAAGGAACAGCTGATTTTTGTTTGCAAATGCAACAACTTCATATCTCGTACGCCACTTCCTTCGCATACTTTTCCGTCCATTCTGACGGGCCTAAAAAACCGAAATGTTCGTTTGATTTATCTACATAAGAATGTTATTGCGGAATTGAAAGATAACATCTCTATGGTGACCAGAAGTGTTTTATATCTGTTCCGATAATCTGATCACTTTTAATAAATATCTGAGAGCTAAAAATGGCATTTCATTTTGAGAAGAAGTTGCTACGTTCTGTTAGAAAAATATTACTGCTTAGTAGCAATGCGCCAAAAAGAAGCGGGAAAACAGCTGATTCAAATGACTGAATGGGGTTTAGCGGATTTTTAAACAAACTCCTAATGTTAAATAACTTTGACCTAATGTTGAAAGCTTTTGAACGCTAACAAATTGTTGATCAGATTTTCATAAATAATGGAAATTTTTGCGAATTTTGTGTTCGCGTATTTTTTTCGTGAATATTTTTTAATTATTCTATTAATTATAGTAATAGTCATAAACAAAAAGTGCGGTCAAAAGCAGTTAAGTGGTGTAACTTAATCAATGCAAGCCAATAACCAATCGATTATACGATTTATGGATAAAGTCTTTTGAGTCTATTTATGTCAAGTTGCCCATAAATTTTATAAATTCATTTTCAAATATGATTTTCGTAACTCATTCACCATCGCATTGTAGTTCATTAAACCTAAATATGTGCATACACTACTTGTGTTTATACTTTCGATATAAGCAATGTGATTTCCTTATTTTGCCTTTCAGTTATATTTCTCCTCTATACTGATTATAATGCATTATGCCGGATTTGGCATACCATGCGCGCTTTGATATCAAACCAAATTTGAAGTCATTAATTTTGCAATGAGTACATATTTATGAATTCAATGGCAACAACAACAACAACAACAAATTGCATGCAACTTCACGTGCGCTCACTCAACAGTCCGGACTAACAATTTGCAACTCCAAGAAATTTTTCCTCAATCAACACTATATTTTTTTTTTTAATTATGGCATCTGCTGAGTCTTATTTTTTTGTTAATTTCCTTTTTAATTTTGAAATTTCGTCTAAATTCACGATGCCAGCGATAATTGGCACGCCATTTATGCGCTGTGGGTTTTTACACTATTGCTACACCTTTTTACCTTCACTGTCGACACAATTTATTTTTCATAATATTTTTAAACACTTTTGTGTTTTTCATTGTTTTTTACTTTATTTTTGTTTTCATGTAGGTATTTGCACATTTTGCAAAAAACTCACCTCCTTGCTTGTTTCGCCTCTATTTGGTTTGGACAAAAAGAAATAAAAATTCACTTAGCACTTGCACACGCTGTATTCGCACTCAATACCGTTGTTTTTATCCTTATGTAATAATCCACAAAAAATAATTAATCCTTTGCTCCTTTTTTTTGTTGATTGTTGATCGCGCTATGCGCTTTGCGATGTTGGCTGCTTGACTGATTTGGTTTTGAACCGCACACAACATTTTATACCACTACCGCCTGTTGTTGGCCGCCGTTTGTAGCAGCGGCTTAGCCGGTAAACTCAGTGAGTAAAACTACCATGTACGAAGAGGCTAAATGTAAAGTAACAAAAAAAAAAAAAAAAAATACAAAATACAAAATACTACAAAAGAGTTGTACGAAATAGCGGCAATAGTAAGCAAAACAAATAACAATGAAACGGGCTGTGGCGCAAAATCTACAGCCAATCCGAAATTTATAAAGTTGTATTTGCGCAGCCGCAAAAGTTGCTCCAAAATTTAGTCAAAAGCCCTCAGCAGTTAATGCGCGCTTGAGGCTCTCAAACACACAGCTCAAGTGAGTTAGGTACTCTTCTCTGGAGAGTGATGTCATGTGGAGCCTTAAAGTGGATTAGACGATTTTGCGCCGGTGCCTTTGTGGTGATTTGTATGTATGTATGTATATATGATTTCTGTGAATTGTTAAAGGTCATTCATGGCTTCGTTGCGATCGTACATAAGAATTAGTTTTGGGGTTTTCAACTTCAACTGCTTAAACAAATTTAAATAATTTGTTAAAGTTAACTTATGTATGGGGAAATTTTTGAATACATTTCTTAGAACTATGAGCTTTGCCTTAATAGAGCGAACAAACTGATCGGCGGGGCTATGAAGTGGTGTACAGAATTTGCTATGTCTGTCTGAAACTAACACTTATACTTATACAAGACGAGCGTCCTTTTCAGCCAAACGTTTAGTACCTTCTGGTTTAGTGGCTTCTGGTTATCGAAATATCCTTACAAATAAGGCCACTGCGTAGTAAGCCAGAATGGGCTTCCTGATATGCTCAAGCGAGAAGTGAATCGCAGGCTTAATAAGATCAATTTACAAGAGCATCTTCTCCGTGATCTTCACCTTTGGAAAATTGCAATAAGAAGATTCATTTTAAAATGCAAGTGTTGAAAATTCCAAAAATTATTGAGAGTTTTCAAGCCAGGGTTCTTAAGAATATTTTCCCTATTGCGGAAACACCGGTTACCGAAAAACCGGTTACCGAAACACCGGCTTAAAAAATTGAACTAATTGAGCAACAGATCGTAATTTCCGTAGCTGCCGCCTAGCCGTTGGATCTCTAAATAATAGGCATCTTCATCTCGATGTAAGCAACAGTTAGCGATACGGTGAGCTGCCTAAAGTCCCCTAGCGTTCGCTTTTTGTCTTCTTCTAATCGGTGCAAGAACAGCGTTTACGATCTAATGCTGAGGCAGTTTCTCAGATTTTTCCAAACAACAATTACCAGATCGTCTACGGAAAGGCATCATGGTCACACCAAAGCGATGAAGAAATAACACCTCCTTTCATGGCTCCCAAATACGCTGCAATATGGTGCTTACGAAGCATAATATCAATCCACCCAATAGTACAATGCCCTTGAGAAAGATCAGTATGCAGTATTATCGAAAACCATCGATGCTCGCGAAGGCTTACAGATAAACCTACCAAGTGGCTCGACGCCCCTTCGAAATTACTAACTAAAGACGTTATGTCGATTTCGCTTTGACAAAGTTTGCTGAAAGCAGAATCTGCTACCCCTTTTCAGACACGGGAGAACTTGGATATCTTCAGCGCATTGCCAGCGGTCACATCTCTGCTAGTGTTGATGTACAACCAGTGTTGCCACGGACACATTTTTTTTCCTACCAAAACCAACCGAAATTTTTTTAAGTTTTAAAATTTTTTCCCATGTCAAGTTAGTCCTTTCGCTGCCTTTAAACCCTTCATGTCCCGAAACCCACCTCAGCATTACGCTATTGTGGGGTCCCAGGTAGTTTAAAAGAGTTTTACAGTTGTCCACAAGCCTTGATGCCGTTTTAAAAGAGTCTAAGGCCTTTAACCCTGCCTGGCTATCCGACATAATATTTATTCTGCTCTTCTACGAAGACTTTCTTGGAATCCTGGTCCAAGTACGCCTGCCACAGTACTTCGTCGTCCTTCTTAGATCTGTCGGTATACCATACGTGGAACCCTTCCTCAATCATAGTTGTTATCGCTTCACAGCATTCCCTTTCAAGAGTTCTGACCTTATATGGTTTATAGGAGGATAACTAGGGATCACACAGGAATAACTTGAGAACTTCCAAATGACGCCAAGATCGCCACTTTTAAGCTGATCGTATTAGGCAGCCGCACGGGCGCTCCAGCTGGCCTCTTTTTCAATCAGAATGAAAAAAGAAGGCCTGCCTGTAGTGCCACCAAGGTGCGCATAGCTCCTGTTATGGTAACGCGGACAAGTCGTTGCTTAGCTTTTGGCCACCAGTCCAGTGCCGCATATGTAACTACGGGTTTTACTACCGTATTGAAAGACCAATACGTTAGTTTGGGTGATATTCTCCAAGTCTTATCGTGAAGTCTCTGACAGGCATAAAACGCACTTGTAGCCTTATTTGTAACATTCGAGAGATGTGAGTTCCAACTGAGACTTTTGTTCAGAATTATCCCTAGATACTTCGCGTCTTCTGAGAACTCATTTTCTGTCCCTGCCAAGGTGGATCTAGTCAAGTTGACTTTCCTTATTTTGGTAAATGGAACATTAGTGGACTTCAGTGGGTTCATTGACAAGCTCTTTTTAAGGTTGCTAAAATGTTTGGAGATATATAATTTCTCTTTTTCGCAAATAACAATTTTTTTCGTGAAACCTACCAAAATCCAATCTAGCCCCCAACCTACCAAATGGAAATGAACCTATCAGTTTTGGTAGGAAAAGCCCATGTGTGGCAACACTGTGTACAACCACTATTTTATTGGGATCATATGCAAACACTGCGAGGAAATGTGTTTGGATCATACATAGTACAATGTGTATGTACATATTTTTACTTATTAAAGGCAATGAGCGAAAGCATTATATAATTCATTTATGTATTTGTAAAATAATATTAAGTATCTCATAAATTATATTCAATGTCTTAATTTGTAAGTTTTTTCCAAAATAATTATGCCTGCATATTTTTGTAAGAAACTTTTCCCGTTTTAAATTTGTTGCAACTTGAACTTAACGCGCTTGCTCTGGCATAAAAAAAAAGCATTAATTCATAATTTCCACAACAAACAAGCAGCGTAATATCAAATTAGCAACTAAAATAGAGCTCGTTGAAAAAAATAAATAAAACAAGGCACATACATATGTACGAATGTTTGTTCACATGTTTTTATTTTTATTTTTTTTTTTTGGTGTTCATCACCTGTTTAAAGTTTATTACAAGTCATCACAGTTTGCAACTGGGTTAATTTGTGTCGCAAGAAAGGGAGAGTGTGGGGGCAGATAAAAATCAAAACAAGACTTGTATGTTTAAACGAAATGTTTTATTACGATTTGTACTGTGAATATGCGCGAACAAAAAAAAGGAAATGCGGGCATGAAAACATGTTTTACAAATGTCCACAGCTACGAATTGATGCAATAAACCAGTCTTGCGGATTTTAACCACTCGGTTTTATTTTATAGTTTAATAAATTGACATCAAACATAATTATTGTCTTCAGAGACCTATAGAAAAATTTTGCGGGAAACCTTTCAAGCCCTTTAACTACTCCTTCCGAGCTCCTTTTGTGACCCTTTTGGAATAAGTTAATTACAAATTGCAGTTAGAGGGTTAAAGTGGTTTTCAAAAATATAAATCGGAGAAGAATAAAAATCAAATGACTGAATATGAGTGATTTGCATGGATAATATAATTTTTAGGATACCTAATGTAAAAAATTACATTGTGTCTTTTTTGCGATTCTACTTGGTGTTCTGTGTAAAAGGTTTATGCAACAAATTTTTGTCTACAAAAATTGGGCGCCTAGTAGCAGAATATTAATTTTTTTTTAAGAATTATGAGTAAATTTTAATTTCTAAAGACAACAGAAAAACGTTTCGTCCAGGCGTCAGAGACTGAGGAATCGGTCAATAGATTGAGGAAACAGATCGGACCACTCAATTATTTTTATCGGATTTTATGTCAACGTGAAATAGTATAACTGAGCCGTTTATTTTGAAAGTGGCATA